CAATAAAGAGAACAAGAATAACTTAAAGGCAGAGTAAGTGGTTTCTGGTAGCCAATGTTGATATTTGAAAACACCAAAACAAACACGGCCCTACCCCAAAAGGGTCTTGCCCCTATTTTGATAGCTCTGCCCCACATATACGTACGCAACCCAGGCAACGATTAGTTCTGTGAAACAAAGCAAAACCAATGTTACACCGTGTCTACGGACGTGAGCGGCGCGGCGCAACAAATCCCGACAGAAAACTGCTGCCGGGTTCTATTTATGACGTGCTGACACAAATTTCAAATGGTTTTCAACGGTCGTTTGATCGCGTCCAGTGTAGTCAGACTTTAGCTGTTGTAGACACGGTGTTACTCACCTACTGAGAAGAAACATAGCAACCTCGGCGTCCGATCGCAGGCCTCCGCTCCTTGAGTTCTCTCCAGCGCTGGAAAGCTGATCCGATATTTTCACGGGTCCTACTTCTTGCCTTATCTTTCCGCAGACGTTTTCCTCTTTTGTTTTTTTATCCGCCATCTCTATCTTTCTGTCGCTCGGCTCGGCTAATGTCCGTCCCATGCACTGAACGCGCTCTCCTCCACATCACGAGTAGACACGCCCCTTATTGCTGATTGGCTACAAGTTTGTTTTGCGATTCGGCCCGAATCAGTTTTCTAAAGTGTTTTTGAAAAATCACATACCCTGCCTTTAACGTCTGCTAAACAAACAAATCATTGTAAGTGAAATGGTACATTATACAGCGTCCATGTTTTACCTCTCTATTCCTGCAGGTTTCACTAAAGCAGAGGCTTTGGACACGATACCAACACACCAGAGAGAGAGACACGGGCCCCTGGGCCCTGAGTGGGGCCGCAATGGGAGCCTCTGACAGACTGACTGGACTAGGGTCCTCTAACACAGCGCAGGACAGAGAAACACAGAAACACAGAGAGAGAGAGACATGAGAGACACACTGGGACACGGACAGAATCCGAACGAAGAGGAAGAAACGATACGGCCTGAAGATCTGAAGAGGAAACAACACGAGGAAGACGACAGCAGGAACCTGAATGTTCAAGACTCATCTAATGAAGAACACAAAACCACTGCAAAAACACTTCTTAATGAGTTTAGAATTAGTCTTTCCATTAAAAACATCTATAAATCCTTAAAACAAGATAAATCTATATATTCAAAACTTTGAGGTCAGTAATTTTGTAAAAAAAAAAAAAAAAAAAATAATATATATAAATATAAGCTTTTTTTTTTTCAGCAAGGATGCATTAAATTGACCAGAAGTGACAGTAAAGACATTTATGTTACAAAAGCTTGCCGTTTCAAATAAATGCTGTTCTTCTGAACTTCTTCTTCTGATCATAGAATCCTGAAATAAAATATATCATGTTTTTTTCCCCCCATAAAAATATGAAGCAGCACAACTGTTTATAACATTGATAATAATCATTAATGTATGTTTGAGCAGCAAATCAGCATATTAAAATGATTTCTGAAGGATCATGTGACACTGAAGACTGTAATGAAGCTGAAAATTCAGCTTTGCATCACAGGAATAAATTACATTTAATAGAAAACAGTTTACATTTACAATAGAAAACAGTTATTTTAAATTGTAATAATATTACTGTTTTTACTGTATTTTGGATCAAATAAATGATGCCTTATTTAATGCGCAAAATATAATAATCTTACCGACTCCAAACTTTTTAACAGTAATGTATATATAAATACAGTAGTAGTAAAATATAAAATACAAAATTATAAAGTATAATAAAATACATATTTCTTTTAGAATCTAAATGTAACTTATGCAGTGCTGCTTCTCAAAGAAAAAATTGATCCTGTATCAAGGATTTGTAGATATTTTAACTGGATAATTAGACAAACACTCATTAAGAACAGGATTTTCTGCAGTGAATGAAAATTCTGTAATTATTTATTCAGCTTCACACTCGTACGTGATTATTTCATATTGAAGTTGAGTGAATCTGATAATGCTTTCAGCTACCAATGAAACTCACTGCTTCATTTAACATGCTTCATTTCAGATTTCAATCAGATCATGAATTCAGATATTCATGAATTCATTTTAATTTTATAAATTCAGATTTCACTTTCAGATCATGAAAATGTCGAATGGTGCACAAATTCCATGTGGGACCAATTACGAGTGACGCCTTGAAAACAGTCGCAATTCCCAGAGGAGAGAAAGAGAAAGAGAGGAAGGTTAAACACACACACACACACACACACAGAGACACACGACACAGAGACTGGAGCTCTGGAACAGGACGGCTGTGCTCCGGTACCTCTAACGCTACGCTAAAATCCACCATGGACACGCTGGTGTTGCGATGCCAGCACACGTGAACCGTGGTATTACCACGGTGAGGCGTCTGCCGCTCGAGAGACGTCCGTGAGGCGCTCAGGTCATCATCTGATTCCTGGTCAGCACTAGATTCCTCAGGGGATTCTGGGAAATATGGGAAGAACAGCCATTTAACAAGAAAAGAATGAAAGGTTGTGATATCGATAGGTTATATGTTTTTGTACCATACACCATGGTAAATCCTATTTTTCCTCCAGGTACTGCAGAGTACCATGTCAATATCAGGGATACATAAATATGTTAATCATGGCATATATCAAAGTACTATAGTGTTAGTGTGTGATTTCATCACTCTATTTTTGGATGGTGGCAGTACTATGGTACAGTGATGGTAATACCACGGTACTAAAATTAATTTACATGGTACTCCTAACTATCATGAATACCATAGTAATAACAAGTTACCATGTTCGATTAATATTATGTTATTTATTATTATTATTATGTGTATAGCATGTTTTTTTTGGAAGTACCAACTAATACCAGTGTTGTATTTACCTTTATACCATTGTACTACCAAATTTTTGTAAGGTTATTTACTGTTTTTATTTAAAATAAAAATAATAAAAAAATACAACTTTATATACATTTATTCTAAAAGAATTTAAACTAATAATAATAATAAAAATAATAACAATCGTATATATGAAATTAATAACATCAATAAATAAAGTAAATAATGTATGCCACATATATGTAATAATAATAATAATAATAAACTAATAAGCAAACAAACATATTTTCACAGAAAATGACAACATTCAATATAAAGCAGGTAGATGTTGTCCTCTGAAATCAGAAAGGTTTTCACAAGGTCAAATATGAGACACAATGACAGGCAATAAAAACTGACAGACTGAAATCAGGTGCGAGTTCATGCATCAGGTCACGAGAGCAAACAGTCTCTTCACAATGACATCAAACTCCATGTCTAGACGGCAGGAACAATATGATGAAAAATAGCAGAAAAGATTTAGTTGATGTGAATAAAGCAGAAGAAAAGAGCATGTGTGTGTATCAGACTGACAGGAAGAAGAGCTGCTGAAGGATTGCAGGACTGGAAACATGCAGAGCACACACTGTTCACTACTGTCAACTACTGCTCTTATGTCACACTCAAAAACGTATGGATGTCATTGCATTAGACAACAAAACATCAAAGCACTACTCATCTGAAACATATATTTCTATGTCATGAAGCTCTTTGTAAGCATTGGCCTGTGTCAGATCAGAGTAGTTAACATGCAGATAATGAAATGGGAAAACGGTCAGTGACTTACTGCTGTCAGTGAAACTGCTGGACAGGATCTCAGCCGAGGGGCCATTGCATTTGTCCGCCAGTTCAATGGCCATCTTGATGTCCTCCACCCACTTCTCCATCTCAGACGCTGAACTGTGGAGAGGACGAGGATGTTATTACTGCAGCTACTGCCAATTAAAAGTGCTAAGACAGTGATACTGTTACTATTACTGCAGGGAAGGGACACAGCACAAATCAGGCACAGCACATAGTAGATTAATAATTATTTACTAAAATGCCGTCTAAAAATAAATATTTATTTAATAACAACAACAACAACAACAATAATAATAATTATTATTATTATTTATTATTATGCTGTAGTAATATTAATATTATTAATATTATTATACTATTATTCATATCATTAAATGTACTACTACTAATTATTATTATTATTAAAAACTAAAAAAAGTCTTATTATTATCTGATTATAATTATTAGTACAATTATTATTATTTATACATTATAATAAATAACAATAATTGCTCAAATTGTTTACTATTATTACTATTAGTAGTAATAGTAATAGAAATAACAATATATAATTATTAAGTAAATATATAAATACATATAACAACAACAATAATAAATAATAATAATAATTATTGTTATTAAGAATATTATTATTCATATTACATATAATACTACAACTACTGCTACAACTACTACTGCTGCTGCTATATTATTATTAGTATTAGTATTATTTTAAAAAAGGCTTGTAGTTACTTTTTGGCTTGAACTGTGGTCTGTACTATCAGAATTCAATGACGGGTCTATCCATTTTATTCAACTCATTTAAATATCCTGTAGAATTTCTGTGTTTTGTTTTTTTCTGTTGTATTCATTCAGAATAGATTTTCTCCAAACTCATTTCAGTCAATGTATCTGAAACAGCTTTAATGTAATGTTGCAATACAACTGCACTAGATCACAGAACAATAACATTGCATAACTCTTTATAATCTGCTGATACTGAATGTGGTTTCCTTGGAACTGCATTTCACAATTTATATAAGCATCATGGTGCTCCCATGAATTTCTTGAGCACGACACACAATAAAAAGGCACATTTGCACATTGAACATGCATATCCGTTTTCCTCAGACAGACAACAAGGACATAAGACAGCATGGACACCAATAAGCATAAAGCCAGCCGTCCATGTAATAATTAACCAGTTAAACCCTGAACATGTTAGCTAGTGAATATGTTAATTACCTGGCAGCCACGACGACGGACTGTCTCTGTCCATATTTACTAAAATGCCGTCTAAAAATAAATATTTATTTAATAACAACAACAACAACAACAATAATAATAATAATTATTATTATTTATTATTATGCTGTAGTAATATTAATATTATTAATATTATTATACTATTATTCATATCATTAAATGTACTACTACTAATTATTATTATTATTAAAAACTAAAAAAAGTCTTATTATTATCTGATTATAATTATTAGTACAATTATTATTATTTATACATTATAATAAATAACAATAATTGCTCAAATTGTTTACTATTATTACTATTAGTAGTAATAGTAATAGAAATAACAATATATAATTATTAAGTAAATATATAAATACATATAACAACAACAATAATAAATAATAATAATAATTATTGTTATTAAGAATATTATTATTCATATTACATATAATACTACAACTACTGCTACAACTACTACTGCTGCTGCTATATTATTATTAGTATTAGTATTATTTTAAAAAAGGCTTGTAGTTACTTTTTGGCTTGAACTGTGGTCTGTACTATCAGAATTCAATGACGGGTCTATCCATTTTATTCAACTCATTTAAATATCCTGTAGAATTTCTGTGTTTTGTTTTTTTCTGTTGTATTCATTCAGAATAGATTTTCTCCAAACTCATTTCAGTCAATGTATCTGAAACAGCTTTAATGTAATGTTGCAATACAACTGCACTAGATCACAGAACAATAACATTGCATAACTCTTTATAATCTGCTGATACTGAATGTGGTTTCCTTGGAACTGCATTTCACAATTTATATAAGCATCATGGTGCTCCCATGAATTTCTTGAGCACGACACACAATAAAAAGGCACATTTGCACATTGAACATGCATATCCGTTTTCCTCAGACAGACAACAAGGACATAAGACAGCATGGACACCAATAAGCATAAAGCCAGCCGTCCATGTAATAATTAACCAGTTAAACCCTGAACATGTTAGCTAGTGAATATGTTAATTACCTGGCAGCCACGACGACGGACTGTCTCTGTCCAAACAGAGTGAAGGAATGTGGGACGCCCCACTCGTCCTCACTTTCACGGATCTACACAAACAGACCAACATGATAGATTAACCCATCAGTTAGAAACATGCTGACCATGTGGATGCATTTTACACAGAATAATTAATAATAATAATAATAATAATAATAATAATCCTGTACCGAGGTCTGAATATAAGCATTCATTATTTTTCAATTAAAACCTCATCAAGACAGCGATTTAACATCTGAATGTTGCGTGTTTCTGGATAATTACATTTACATGCAATATGCAATTTTGGGAGATGCGCTGGAGCTGCGGCCTGCAGAACAATGGAGCTCCTGTTTGTGTGAATGTGCAATTAGTAACTAGAGATGGAGGCAGCGGGAACGTGGCCAAAACAAACAGTCAGTGTGCGCTAAAATACAGGGAATGCTGTTGTATATTGAAAAGTACCGTCAATGAAAAGAGGTATATATGTATAGACCTGAAGGAACCATCACTGTTTTAAGTCCAAGTCAAAAATGTATCAAATATTACGCACCGTCATGCCATACAGAGGAAGCTGGCCGTGCACTTTGAACTGATTGGAGGCCGTCATCCCTCGACTCGTGTACATCAGAACATCATTGAACTGAAAACATATTCAAGATAAATGAATACATTAGCGTTCATTATTTTACCTCTCCTAAAAACATCAAGAAAGATGATTCACTTAAATTGGCATTCCAAGGCACTTTAAAGAACATCATAAATATCATTACCAAAAAACATAATATCATGGTACGTTTTTATTTTATTTTTTTTGATGAAATCAATACTTTGCTTTGGTAATAAAAAATAAAAATAAAAAAAACAATATATTAATAAATTAAATAAAACACAAAATATAACAAAAACACAAATAAATAATAATAAAATAAAAAACAAATAAAACAAAATAAAATAATAATAAAATTAAAGACAAAATACATATAATAAAAACACAAAAATAAAACATTAAAAAAGAAAATATTAATCATTAAAAAAACAAACAAAATAACATTAAAAAGTATGATCAAATAAAACATTAATGAATATAAATAAAAATAAAAAACAAAAGATAAAATGATCAAATAAATTAATAGAAAACAAATAAAATTAAAAACAATACAATAAAACAAAATTGCAAATATAGAAATTAAACAGAAAATAATAAACTATCAAATAAAACAACAAATTTAAAAAACAACAACAAATAATAGAAATCAAAGGATAATAAATTATGAAATAAAACATTAGTATAAAGTACTTTTCTACTATTCACAGTACATTTAGGTATCATAGCAATCAAACCACCACAGTACTTTTAATAAAGGATGCAGCATGGGTCATAATTCTAACAAACCATCTAGCTGTATTATGTAGATGTAACTAGTATATGGAAGCAAGCAGTTCTCACCAAGAAGAACATTCTCTGCTGTAGACCTTTTCCAGAGAGTTTGCTGAGACAACCAAGTCTGATAAACTCCTGACAAAACAGACACAACCAGGTCAACGAGAGAGATCAGAGCATTCAGAACTCGTTCATATTCAGGAACATGATTGAGTCATTTTTGATTTCATGAACTAACCCGTCCAGGAAGTGCAAGATTGTCGATGCCAATGAGGTCTTTCTTGAGCTCTAGAAGCTTCTGGAAGTTCTCCATCTTAATGAGGGTGCCGTGAAGCTGCACAACCATCTCAGAAACATCAGCAAGCGCAGCTGGAACAGACGAAAAGGATCTTTAGAACATTAAAGAACTGAGATTGAACTCTGAGATTAAAGCAGCTGTCCCATGTAGTACCTCGCGAGTCTCTGAAGTCGTCGTGTGTCGGTGGATAGTGTTTGCAGAGTCGCTCGAGGATCTGTTTGTAGTGCATGAGGCGGTGCAGCGGCCGCAGGAAGAAGATGTTGAGCGGCAGATAACAGACCTTCTGCAGCTCAAAGTCTCGACACAGACCCTCCAGCTTCCGGGACGAGCGACACATCCTCTCCAGCTCCAGCAACGCTTCCGAATGCTTCTGGAGATGAGCCGTCAGCAGCTGAGAAGCCAAAAAGTTAATTGAGTTTAGTTAATTTATCTGTGGTGATGGCATCAGATAATAATAATACTATGGTACTTCAAAGAATACAACAGTGTTACCATCATACCATGGCCAAAAACACATCACCTGGATGTGTCATGGTATTGGATGATGATACTCAAAGAATACCATGGCAAAAAATATACATAATTATTATTGTTGTTATTATTTTGAAGAGGTGTTTCTCAAACATTTGGATGGCAATTTTTATTTCCCATTTAATATCCAATTTTATATATCCATGTTACATCTCACAGCCAAGCTCTAGAGAACAACACGATGTCCAAAACGCATATCTCACTGATATCAAAGAGGATCACAGAAAGATCTAGATGTTCTGACCTTCAAACCCTGGATATTCTTCAGCATTACATCTCCAATACGCTGGTAGTCTCCTTTGATGTGTGCGTTGGATCTGCCTTCCCTGAGAACAATGAATAGAATGCATTTCATATATATATATATATATATAT